AAAAAATAAAATCCAAGTGATAATTAAGGTATTATAACTTAAAAATGATGTGAAAATGCTCATCATTCTTAATTATATTGGATTCAGGGGCTGTGACAGAGAAAGGATTGAGGGGCTCAGGGAAATAAAACTAAAAAACAACTGCTTTCAAGGCTACTTTTTAATAGTAAATTATTTTAGGAAAATAGAACCCTAAACATCTTTTTTATCAAGCAAAATATTGACATATTACTAAATATTTTATGTAAACCAAAGAGGAAAATAAGCTTGTACAGACCACCATGGGCTGTAAAATTTTCATATGTAAGTCCTACAAGTATAAGCAGTGTTAAGATGCCTTGTTCTCATGTTTTAACACCACTGGATATCAAACAGTCAGCTTCTTTTCCTCTTAACAAAATCTGCTAATAGTGAAGCAGTGAATGGAAACCTGTGTTCTTCAGTGTACCTCATCAAAATGATTAGGGGTGTGAGCCTACAGCCTGGGCTCTTTCCTCTTCCTCCACTGATCTGCTCCTACCTCATCAGCCTATGGAGCATGGAACTTATCCTGGGCACATAACTCATGTTTTTTTTTCTTGAGCCATGTTAGTTGGGGCTCAACCTTTCATGTGCATATGTGTGTGTGTGTGTGTGTGTGTTGGGGGGTGTTAACATAACAAATAACAATTAATATTCATTAGTATGATTACATAACGAAGGCCTACCTCCTTCAGTATACTTTTTAGACACCATTGTGTCGACAACCTTTGGCATGCTGCTTAGCATTTATTAAGTGAAACAAAAATATTAAGGAAAAGTAGGAGACTTCCGGTAACATGGAGGAATAGGCAGACATGTGACACAGACCCTGTTCAACAAAGAAAAGAAAAACCAATTGAAAGAGATACAGAAGATAATCCTGGAGGCCTGAGCTTTGAAAGGAACTATGCAGAAGTAGATTAGGCACCAGCTAGTGGAAAAACCTGAACGAAAACAATGAGTACAGAGATGGTCAGAGCTGCGGAGTGTCAGCTACTCTGACAGGACCAACAGCCTGGATATTTCCAAGTGGTGTTGGGACCTGAGAATTGACCTAAAGATCAACCCTGGTCACCAAGGACTGCAGGGGCGATTGCGGTGGTGGCCTATGACTAGGAAGGGAAACAGCAAGGAGCTGTTGACCTTCCGCTGTCTGGAGGGCACAACAATTTTGATTGTTTAGTGCAACAACTATTTTAGATATTTAAAGTGACCAAGGGTGCAGCCATTTTGGATATTTAAAGTGACCAAGGGTGCAGCCATTTTGAATGTTTACAAGTGGGGGCCATTTTGGATATTAAAAGTGACCGAGGCTGCAGCCATTGTGAATGTTTATAAGCAGCAGCTTTTTTGGATATTTAAAGTGACTAAGGGTGCAACAATTTTGAATCTTCACAAGTGGTAATCATTTTGCATTTTAAAATGATAGCATTTTCATTCAGATTCCAGGGACCTAAGAATAGGCTCTGTTTTGGCAAGGTCAGCAGGGACCTATGAGAGACTGACAGCAGGAAAGGAGACAGGTGGTGAGTGTGTAAGTGCTGTCAACTAGCAAACAGAGGAGCACAGTACCCTGCTTGCACAGATAACATACAAACAAAACAAAGAAAATGAAAATCGTGGGCAAGTCACTCCAATATACTATCACCAATTAAAAGTAAACACAAAAATGTCACAATGCCTCGGAGACAACAGAGCATCACAGTCCACACGAAGCAGCAAGATAAAGCAGGAGAAACAAGGGACCAGGATACAGACCCAAAACATATCCCTGAGGAAGACGCAGCTGGAACTCCCTGACAAGGAATTCAACAGAATTATATTTAGGTACCTTCAACGAATTGAGAGACAAAATAAGGAAAACACAGAGAAAACCCTACAACAATTTCAAAAGACAATACAAGAACAAAATGAGAAAATGAATGAAAAATTAGAAATGATACAAAATCTACAGACAGAAATCCAGAAGATTAATACTAAATTTTCAGAAATAGATAACACATTGAAAGGGCAAAGGAGCAAAACTGAATCAATGGAAGACAGAATTAGGGAGACTGAAGGCAAATACCTGAACACTTCTTTGGAAAGGGATCATTAAGAAAAAAGATCAAAACAAAATGAAGAAAGCCTAAGGTTCATGTGGGATACCATCAAAAGGAGTAATCTACGTGTCATCGGAATTCCAGAACAGGAAGAGACAAATAAAATCACAGAGAACATTGTCGAAGATTTGCTGGAAGATAATTTTCCTGGTATGATGAAAGATGAGAATATATCCATTCAGAAAGTCCAACGAACCCCAAACAGGATAAACCCACAACAGAAAATCACCCAGACATATAATCATCAAATTCACCAAAACCAAAGACAAAGAAAGAATCCTGAAAGCAGCACGGGAAAAACAAAAAGTTACCTACAAGTGGTAACCAATAAGAGTAAGCTCAGATTTCTCAACAGAAACAATATAGGCGAGAAGACAATGGGATGGTATATAAAAAACCCTGAAGAGAAAAGTTTCCAACCAAGAATTATGCACCCAGCAAAACTGTCCCTCAAATCTGATGGTGAAATTAGGACATTTCCAGATAAGCAGAAATTAAGGAAAGTTGTTAAAACCAGACCAACCTTACAAGAGATGCTAAAGGGAGCCCTTTGGACACAGAACCAATTAACAGCAAACAACTGACCATGAATACACATGATGATATAACCCAGAAACCAACCCAGCTACGGAAGTATCCAACGTAAATAAGCCTACAAGATTGTAAACAGGGAACCAGAGACAGCAATTGACAAATGAGGACAACTACAAACCAAAAACAGGGAAAAAACTGTCATTACAGAACTTCTAGATGGTAGGCAAGTCAAGACAAGTACAAAATAGAACAGACTGTTATAAACTTGGGAAGAAAACTATAAATCACAGGGTAACCTCAAAGAAAAATGATAAACCTTCACATCAAAATAAAAAGAGGACCAGCACAAATATTTAGCAAATACTAAAACAATAGCAACAAAGGAAGTGATACCATGATTCGTAAACAAAACGAGCTCAGCATAGAAAATTATATGGAACAAAGAAATCGAACCATGAAAAAGCACATAACAAAAATGACATCAATAAATTCATATTTGCCGATAATTACGTATCTGGCAAGGGACTTATCTCTAAGATTTACAAAAAACTCTCATGTCTCAACACCAACAGAATTAACAATCCAATTGAAAAATGGGCAGAAGACATGAATAGACACTTCCCCATGGAGGAGATTCAGGTGGTCAGCTAATACATGAAGAGATGCTCACAATCATTGGCCACCAGAGAGGTGCAAATCAAAACAACGAGATACCATCTCACCCCAGCACTGATGGCAAGGTTCAATGAGACAGAAAACAACCAATGCCTGCGGAGATGTGGAGAGATTGGGACTCTTATACACTACTGGTGGGACCGTGAAGTGATACAACCACTGTGGAAAGCAATATGGCGATTTCTTAGAAAGCTGGAATTGGAGATATCATTTGACCCAGCATCCCATTACTAGGTATATATCCTAGAGAGGTAAGAGCCAGGACAGGAACAGATATATGCACACTCATGTTCACAGCAGAACTATTCACAATAGCAAAAAGATGGAAACAACCTACGTGCCCATCAACGGAAGAGAGGATGACCAAACTGTGGTACATACACATAACGGAATGCTATTCAGCACTAAAGAGTAATGTAGAGTCTGCAAAACACCACATAATATGGATGAACTTTGAGGACATTATGCTGAGTGAAATAAGTCAATCACAGAAGGATAAATATAGTATTAGTTCGTTGTTGTGGAGGGTTAAGGAAAGGTTTATATATGGAGGGAAACTTTCTTTGTTGGTTGCCAGGGGGTGGGAGGGGGGGGAGGGAACACTGCAAAAAAAAAAAAAAAAATGCATTGACCCATGTCACTTTAGTTTTGTGTATTTCACTGTACATGAATTATATTTCAATAAAATGCATTAAATACACACACACACACACACACATATATATAAAGGGAAAGTAAAGAGTAATGTTTGCTTCCTATGTCATTATACAAAAAGGCAGTAAAAGTTACCTGATCCTCTATAGGCATGACCAGAATGCCTCCAACTTTCAGTAATATTTTCATGTAGTTTTCATGGTCTTTCTGAACTCCAGCTCCACAATAAATTCGATCATACTGATGACTATCAGATGCTATCTGAAGGCAATTGCCAACCACAAATGCAGGCTCACAGAACTCAAATCTGCATGGAAAAACAAATGTATTTTAATTAATTTAAGCAAAGATTATATCTAAAAAATTAACATGAACCAGTTCTTTGAAACAGTGACGTTACTGAAATAAATCATAAGGATGAAATATCATTATAAAACCTGAAATTTAATACTGGTCAAATGTATTGTTTTATCATGTTTTTAAAATATTAACCCATTTTTGGCCACACTGAAGCCTCACTTATGCCTTAAAAACAGGAATATAACGAAAACCTATTACAACACCAATTTCATGAATGCCCCACAAATGATACATGACAGTAATAATAATTGCAAGGGTGAAACAAATCAAGAAGAGTATTACTTTCCACTGTCCTTTCTAAAAAAATGGTGAGGAGCTAGTGGAAACGGTCAGGGCTTGTGCAGTACTCTTCTGGGTATTTTACACTATTACCAAAGATAACTTTTCAGAGCTTTGCCAAGAGAGGACATTAGTGTCCTGACCTATATTCCCATATAATCACTAAGATTTTCCTAATAAATTTTGGCTGAGAAATTTACAGGATTAGAACAGAGACCAGAACAGTGTCTTTTTTCATTACTGCTTTAGCTTCAGTGATCTCTCCTAACCAACAGAAGAAGAGATGTGCTTTCAAAGAAAAAGGTTTCTTAGCCAGGCCACTCCTTTCTGGTTACAGTGTTGGTTCATGGTATACAGTTATGCTTTTAAAACCTATCCTATTTAGACTTCTATTTTATTGAATTCTATTTAGCCTTCTACTTTATAAAATTCTATTTATACTTCTACTTTATAAAATTCTGATAAACAAACTGAAAACAACTTCTAGTATGTAACATATAATTAGAACTCCAATGCAATAATAATATATGTAATCTTTTAAAATTAATCCACATAATATCTTTTTGCATTCAAGCTGTTTAAAGTTATTATGATCATATAGCAAAACCAGGCTATCACTTCAGAATGAAAAGTTCACATTAAAAGCTTTGGCATGCAGTGAAAAATGACATTTATTTGAATCACAATCATTTTTACTTTGTAAAATACATCCTATTCCTTGGTAGTTAATAGTAGACACGTTAAGTTTCCATTAAAATTCACTAGGACACATATTATGAACATTGACTTAGCTTACTATAATTATGCCCTGTTCTCAATTTCTCCCCATCTGCACAGAGATGTGGGAGGGGAATAGGATTAGCAGTGTATTCCCTGTACTTGTGTCTCCACATCCTTGCATAAGGCGGCCCATGACCTGTTATTTCTTACTAACCACCTCCTCACTGCTCCTATTTTTCAAATATCTTCCATGTGTATGCTACCTACTGTATGTTCAAGCTTCCAGCAATGCTATGTGGACTCATCACGATTCTACACCAAGATTCAAAATTCTGGGTTCTTACCCACTGCACACACAATACTACAGCCAGAGGAAAGACTTGCTTCATAATTCCTTACTGGAATTATCACAAACTGTTCTGAAAACCTCCTTGTATGTATTATTCCCCTGACTGAAATACTCTTCTGTCTCTTCTTCCCTTGATAAATGCCTACAATCCTTCAAGATAAAGTTAAACATTAGTTTTCAAAGAAGTCTTTCCCAACTCTTTCACAGTATATCTCATTCTATGTACCTGCACAGCACACACTAAACTTACTAGGTTAGTGATCATGCTTTATTTCTTTTATGCTCAAGAGTATGACACAATCTCTGATTTCTAAACTACAGCCAAAATAAAATTCTTGGCTTTTAAAACAATACATGTTGTTGTTATATGCTGTCGAGTCGGACCCGACTCATAGCAACCCCTCCTTAGGTTTCTGAGGCAGTATCACTATGGAAGTAGAGTGCCCCATCTTCCTTCTGAGGAGTGGCTGGTGGGTCTAAACTGCCAACCTTCTGGTTAGCAGTCAAGTGCCTTAGGTACTACACTACCAGAACTCCTACGGTTTAATCATTTTTATCAAACTCAGTAAATATCCCTTATAAAGTTACAGTAGTTATTTTCAATAGTCTCTCTAAAAAATCTACTAAAAATTCATTGTGAATAATTTAAACTTCTTACCATGGGAAATAAATTCAAATAACCAAGGACTTTTGAATTATTAAACCTCTTTGATCACTGTTGTTAGGAACTGTCAACTCAATTCTGATTCACAGTGACCCCATGTGATGGAGAAGAAATGCCCCACAGGATTTTCTAGCCTGTAATCTTTACAGCAGATCACCACGTCTTGCTCCCTTGGAGCCACTGGGTAGATTAAACCACTAACCTTTCAGTTAACAACTAAGTGTTTAACTACCATACCACCAGGGCTCCTTCTTTTATCATTAAGTCTGTTAAATCAACTCAAAAGTGAACTTACAGCTTGAAAAGCTTCCTACCTGTTAAAAATACAAGACAGCTTACGAAACTATTACCTGGGAAAACACTATTACAGAGAAACAACTTCAAATTTAAACTAACACTTCTCATGTTAGTAATACTTTACCCATTTCATACCCAGTAAATGAATTAGAAAGAATTTAGTACCTGATTCTAAAATCATATTTAGATTTGACTCTGGGAAAATTACCTTATGCCAGTAATCAGCACACTTTATTTAGTCAAAAAGTATTCCTTGAGCACAAGGGGTTGCATAAGTACTGGGAACACAGTGGGAAGTGCTCATGGAGTCTACCAAGGAAACATCAAACAATCTCACAAGTGTAATTCACAACTATGATGAAGTCTAAGGGAAGGGAATATGATCCTGAAAAGTTCAGGATGAAAGGAAACAGAACTGGGAGGTCAGAGAAGGGTTCCCTGAGGAATAACAAGCTATGATCTGAAAGGGGAGACAAAAACAATCTAGAGATGGAGGTTACGGTAAAGGTGGTGAAATAGGCAGACAAATAACACAGACCCTCTTCAACAAAGAAAAGAGGAACCAAATAACACAGATACAGATAATAATCCTTGAGCTCTGAGCTTTGCAACGAAGGATACAGAAGTGGACTAAACTCCAACTAGTAGAAGAACCTGCATGAAAATACTGAAAAAGTAGACATGTGGAGCTGCAGATTGTTAGTGATCCTGATGGCACAGACAGCCTGGATACTGCCAAGTAGTGTTAGGACCTAAGAATTAACCTAAATATCAGCCCTACTAGCCAGGGGCTGCATGGAGGACTACTGATGGCTGGTGAATAAAAGAGGAAGCAGAGAAGAGGGAGACAGGCTGAGCTGTGGACTTTTGGCTGTCTGCAGGATGCAACCATTTTGAACGTTTACAAAGGGTTTGAACATTTTGGACATTTAAAGCGACAGCACTGTCTCAGATTCTAGGGACCTAAGAATAAGTTCCACCTGGGGCAAGGATATTCCAGATGGACACTGACGACTGGAAAGATGCGACATTCTCCTTGTTATACTCTTATACCCCACATCTTCTTGGTGAATGGAGATGCAGCCATCCCTCACTCCCAACCACCTTCTGAGTCAGCAGGAATTCCATCCAGTAGGTGTGCCCTGCCCCACCCAGATTTTTTTTTTTTTTAAACTGTGTTTGTTTTTGTCTGTTTTAAAATTATTACTATTTTTTTTCTCTTTTCACCCTTTTTATTAATATTCATTCTTCCATTCTGAAGTTCTAGTTTTCAGCTTCTTCTCTCTTCCCTTTTCTTGGTTCCAATTTCTTTCTTTCCTGTGGTTCTCCCCATTCCTTGTTTTTCTTTTTGCATTTTTCCCATTTTTTTCTTCATTATTCTCCTACTCAAACCCTTTTCTCTTATTCCTCCCTCCACAGATACTGTGGGCTTTTTTTTTCCTTTTTCTATTTATTTTTCTTTTGACTTTTTAAAGTATTTCTTTAAACATTTTCTCAGTTACTGCCTTTCCTCTTTTTTGTTCCTTTATTTTCTTCTCTTTTTGGTGACTGTTCCTGTGTGTTTATGCAGTGTATATTTTCTGTCCTCTAGCTTTAACTATCTTGATGGTTCTTAGACTGCTATTTGTCTGAGTGGGTGACAGCAACCCTGCCCATAGGACCAAACCACACCCGTACCTCTTGCAGGTCCTCTTACTACTGAGTGAAAGCCACCACTTCATTCTAAACCAACTGACAAATGATACACAACCACCAATAAGAGCCTGACTCACCCTAAACTGCTCTTCATAAACAGTTAACAGAGACCTGTGTAGGCACTCTCATTCTCTATCACACCCACCAGCACAAAGGTGGTGAATGATAAGTGTTCCCAACAAGCACACAGAGGAGCACAGTACCCTGTTACTCAGATACATCCCCCCACCAAAAAAAAAATCTTGGGTGAATCACTCCAACATACAATCACGAATTAAATGTAGACACAATAAAGTCACAATGTCTCAGAGACAACAGATCATTACAGTCCACACAAAGAAGCAAGATAAAGCAGGAGAAACAAGGGACCAGAATGCGGACCAAAAACACATCCCTGAGGAAGAAGCATCAATGGAAGCCCCTGATAAGGAATTCAAAAGAATTATACTTAGGTACCTTCAGTGGATGGAGAGATAGATCAAGTAAAACACTGAAAAATTAGAGAAAACCCTAGAACAATTTTGGATGAAATTACAAGAACAAAATGACAAAATAAATGAAAAGTTAGAAACGACACAAAAATCTACAGATAGAAATTGAGAAGATTAATACTAAATTTTCAGAAACAGATAATACATCGAAGGGCAAAGAAACAGAATTGAGAATTCAAAATGGAGTCTCGCCAGTGAGCAGCACGTTTCTTTTTTTCCCCTCTAGCATCTAAGGACTTTAAGAACTAGGTACAACAGTTTGAATTAGGAACTTTGATGCTCTGAACAGCTCACTGAATCAGAGTGCACCAAACACAGAAGAGCAGAATTGGAGGAAAGGGACAGGGAGATTATTTAGGAAAGAGCTACTGCCACAGAATGGACGGGCACCCGCAAGAGACCACTGGAAACCTTTCTGGGGCAGTCACTGTCTGCTGGGCGGAGGCTGCCAT